ATATGAAACATATGAGTGAACTGCGGTTATGAGACGTATATAAGAACGATCCTTCGCAGTAAAGCACTATTTGAGCAATAGTGGAAATCAGACCTGAAAAAAATTTCAGGCCTGTACGGGATTCGAACCACTGACCTCTGCGATACTAGTGCAGCGCTCTACCAATTGAGCTAACAAGCCAACTGGGAGCAGGCCATCAAATTAATTCGATATAAACCCGTAGATGATAAATCGAACAACAACAAACATATGAAACATATGAGTGAACTGCGGTTATGAGACGTATATAAGAACGATCCTTCGCAGTAAAGCACTATTTGAGCAATAGTGGAAATCAGACCTGAAAAAAATTTCAGGCCTGTACGGGATTCGAACCACTGACCTATTGTCCACTGACCTATTGTCCACCACTGACCTATTGTCCACTGACCTATTGTCCACTGACCTATTGTCCACTATTGCTCAAATAGTGCTTTACTGCGAAGGATCGTTCTTATATACGTCTCATAACCGCAGTTCACTCATATGTTTCATATGTTTGTTGTTGTTCGATTTATCATCTACGGGTTTATATCGAATTAATTTGATGGCCTGCTCCCAGTTGGCTTGTTAGCTCAATTGGTAGAGCGCTGCACTAGTATCGCAGAGGTCAGTGGTTCGAATCCCGTACAGGCCTGAAATTTTTTTCAGGTCTGATTTCCACTATTGCTCAAATAGTGCTTTACTGCGAAGGATCGTTCTTATATACGTCTCATAACCGCAGTTCACTCATATGTTTCATATGTTTGTTGTTGTTCGATACTGTAGCTTGATGAAAAGGCGTCTACTGTGAAGTGATAATGGTTGTAATTTGGCGCTCATCTCCTGAGTACATGTCTTACGGTCAGCATACAATATTATTCGCATTGCTTTGTTTTGCAGGCGCTCTAAACGTTGGGAATTCTCTTTGCTACATTCGCCCCATACAACACAACCATAGTGTAACAAAGGTAATACAGTCTGCTTGTATATTCTGAGCAAAATATCGCGACTAAGAAAGTATGAAATTCTGTTACGCAGTTTTAGTTTAGGGTAAACCCTAGATTGTATATAGGCTACATGTTTACTCCATGTCAGACAATTATCGAGGTAAATTCCTAAGTACTTAAAGTAATCTGACTGTTTCATTGGTTTTCCATTGAGGATAATCTGTAACGCTCGGGTGTTTTTAACAGCGTGCTTTGATCCAATCAACATAGCCTTGCATTTCTTGTGATTACTGATTAAACCGTTCTGATTCCACCATGTTGCATTACTTTCTAGATCTTTGTTGACACATTTCTCTGCAGCACTTACATCTTTTGCGCTGGCGTGGATTTCTGTGTCGTCGGCGTATAAAACTACTTCGCTATCTGTGCAAGTGTCGGTGATACCGTTGATGTGGATGTTGAATAATGTAGGTCCTAGAACCGAACCTTGCGGAACTCCGTGCGTGATTAAACGACGTTCGGACTCGACACTTCCGTATGACACCCATTGGTTTCTTCCCTGTAGCTAACTTTTGAACCATTCAAGTTCGTTTCCAGTGACACCGTGTTTTGACAGTTTACTGATCAAGATGTTGTGTTCAATTACGTCGAAAGGTTTTCTTAGGTCTAAGAAAGTACAGACAACTTTTTCACCCCTGTCAATGGCGAATTTCCATGAATCAACGGCTACGAAGAGCGCAACTGTGGTAGACGAATACCTGTCATATGCAAATGGATGGTCAGTGATGAGGCCGGTGTCTACTGTAAAACCTTGAAGATCAGTGTTGGCAAACGATTCAAGCACTTTTGAGATACAGGGAAGAATGGAAATTGGTCTGTAATTATCACGTTCGGTCTGGAGCCCCCCTTTAAACAAGGGAGTTACTCTTGCCGTTTTCCAAATGGACGGAAAGCGGCCGCTTCTGAAAGATGTGTTGAATAACTTAGCTACAACATTGCTGATGTATGGTGCAGCAGTCCTGATGACTTTAGCTGGAATGGTGTCTGCACCTGTGGCCTTTGATATGTCCATGG